TATTTTGCTTGTAGCCTAAGCCATGAAATACACACATTAAGCTCTGCCGTTATTTGTTAATCACGTATTTTTTAAATTCTCCCTGGCCCATGTGAAATAGACTTGTGCAGGTCTTCAGTCAGTCAGAGTAAATTAGGAGGCATCAGTGCGCCCTTGATCGTGAATTCTTCATTCATTTGAAAAAGCACAGAGCAGCTGTGTATTCAGATGGAGTCCGTCCCTGGTGGCGGATCCTTGTCTCCCAGGTTCTCTTGCTGAGTGATTTAATGGAGATGGCAGCAGATAATATGATCATAAAGACAACAACTTGCATCATATACTGTAGTGAATTCATACCCACTGGTGTTCAGTTTTGACAGAGCCAGTTTTTTTCTTTTTTTTTTTGCATTATCTGATATATCTGGATCTCCGAGCTCTGTGTACCGCATGTGATCTGAATACAGACCTTGAGAGTGCACACCCCTATGATAGAAACTCTCTCCTTGCCTCCCTCCCTTATTAGATTCTTTTGCAATTATGCTGCCCTCGGGGGGGAAATGGATGCCTTTAACCACCTTTCCTATCAATTATGTGCCAAACAACAGCCCCGCTAACCAAGAAGTCATCTCATTTACTCTGGAATGGGTTTAGCCAATGACTTCCATTAGGTTTAGCTTCTGTGGAGGTGAAAGTGTGATGCCTCATTACATTTGGCAGAGCAATCTTTTGCTCATCATTTCAGTTGAGAAAGCAGAAGAAAGAAAATGCCATCTCACCTTTATCGCCACAAAGCCCAGAAGGAGGTTTATTTTCCAGTGTTCTCAGTGTCCAGAGTTTGTTTTGTTCTTTTTCTTTTGGATTAGCCGAAGCTTCAGCTGATATGCGGCTCTGCAAGGTTCGATGCTGGTGCAGCTTTCTGAAGGTCAAAAGTGATGCAATTCTTTCTTCAAATTTTAGCAGCTCTGAAATGGCTTTTTGAGCATCGTGAGACACTTAAGTTCTCCGCTGAGAGCCACTGAAAAGCTGTCCACTAAAAATGTGATTCTTTAAGGCAAGGCGACACACCCGTCTTACACAATGGCTGGAAAAACTGGCATATATTGGACATTTTTAATGAACCATCCATTCAGAAACAAATAAAAAGAGGACTCTCAGAAAGGAAAATGTCACTACATGTTTTACAGACTGCAGAATGAAGCTGTGCTCTGGGACAAACATCCATCATATCAGTGGAGACGCTGTGCCATGAACTGTGTAACATCCAACTTGCAAAGAAAGTCTTTCCGAAGAGATTTTCCTCTCAGGATCTTGAAGCTTTTTGGACTGATGGGTTGGGATGACGAGGTTGGATCCTGCAGAAAGTGGATGGCAGTTAATACTGCACTCAAACTGAAAAATGCAGCACACATTTTTTTGCTCCAGTAGAATCTCAAACCGTGTAATCCAATGTGATGGGGTTTTAGAGTGGCAAAACGCCCCCTAAATTTTGAAAGACACCAGGAAATCCACTCTGCATCTCACTGTGCCTGCAATTACACCAGATGAGGAACAATTACTGGCACTAGGACAGTCAAGCTAAGCCAACACTGGCCTTTAAGTTATGATCAGGCAAATGGGATGATTTCCCCCCCTGTAGATTTTTCTTTGTGTTTGCTCAGCACCACGATGCTGCTCCATACTCCTCTGTGAGATTATGTAGCTATGATTTTCACGTCAAACCACAGACACAATCCTACAGTTACAACTTGGTGAAACAACTGAGTGGTTAGTATTTAGGTCTGTTTGAAGAATTCCAAAGATAGCCCCGGGTTAATCCGCATAACAGGGTTGTGTTGTAAGGATGAGGGGTTGGGTTGAATTCTTAATCCTGAGAGGCGTATCAGTTTCCACTTACTGTGATGTAGGTCAGAGCTTGAACAAAGCCCCTCCTGTGTCACTGATACTACAATTACAGTCTTAGGGCTCTACGTTCCACCTCCACGTAAGAAAAGTTGAATAGCCATTAAGGCCATTGATCACTGCTTAGATTGGATATGTGATGCAGCAATTTGTGGTTGATAGGAGATACCTGTAAGGATAACATCAAGAACACAATATAATTTAATATCAAGATGTATTGATATTGCGATATATTTGAAATATTCAAATGTATGTGTTAAATCAAAGCATGGCATCACATTGATTGTTAGACTTTACTAACACTACTTTAAAGCAGTAGTACAACAACCAGAGATATTAATGGGGTACTCCAGCAATTCAGTATCACGTTTGCACAACGTTGGGGAACTCACAAGAGGCAGATTTTAAAAGGAATGGTCAAAATCGGTGCATTAGAGGCTGAGGTATCCTGACTTTTACTCCCTCATATAGGTCAAGCTCCAAAACCACTGGATCCTATATTTCCCATAATGCCACCATTAGCATGTTTTCTACTGCAGCTTGTGTTTTAAGCAGTGTTGGGTAAGATACTTGAAATGTGCAATTACATACTCCTTACTTGAATTGAAAAAGTAATTACATCACTTTACTAAGTACTCAAGAGCAAATGTAATGAGTTACTTTTCTTGTCACATTACTTTCTTTTACTCAACCCAGCTCCCTCAACTATCATATCCACACATTATTAGAAAATAGAAAACGAGACATTGTTGGTTAAATAAGCTGCTACAATTTGGAGTAATTTACCAACACTTTCTCGAAAAAACAGAAAAACCCTAAACATTTGGACAAATTGAAAATAACCCATAATTATTTAGAATTTAAAAACCTAAGTTAGCTACCTTAGTAGCCTAATAGTATAGAATACGTTGTATAATTTATGTTGTTCCATTTGCCTCTACTATTTACTTGAGTGACAAGCTAATGTTAATGTAAGGCAGTCATTGCAAAATCAACTTGCAAAATAAACTGCATTTTATGAATGCCTTACGAGTACAGTATCCTATACAATGTCAGTTTTAAATTAGAACAGATATTATAATATATTATAATAGATTTTTTTTTCATGTCAAATGGTAGCGAATTAAAAGTGACAGCCCTAATCTCAGTCCTGATCACGCAGCGCTTTAAGTCCCGTACTCACAGTGAAGCTGCTGGAAGGTTCGCACCCTCTCCAACTCTGAACAAAACCAGGTAATTCCTGAATTTAAGGTTAAATGCTAGGTAGCTAAGGCTCATGACTATATAACTAGCCCATTTTGAAGTAATTTAGAAGTTAGTTAGTTACTATATTCCTCCTCTTTTGGCAAATGATAGCTGTCTTCCTGCCTTAAGCTAACGAATCCCAGACTTGAAAACGATAGAAATTGTCCAGTCTAACAGCTGATCAATCAGCAAACAAGCCTACCCCCTTAATGCCAAAGTCACAGCATTATGGAGATTAGCAACTGCAATGTAATTACTGAATTTTAAAATGTAGCCCCTTACTTACCCTTACTAGCAAAACTCAGGACAGTTTTACTGCTCAACAACGTATTCTCCTGACGACAGTAATGCTTATGACATAGTCACCGTCTCCGACTTGACAAAGCTCCTCCTAACCCACAGAAGACATAACATCTGTTCCTTCCCTCGACAAGTAAGCTGATGATGTATGCCCCTTTAAAGGGATAAATACCTTGGCAGAAAAAGGTAGAGGTTGACACATTTCTATCCTCTTGCGGTATATATGGTTGTCAGTCAAAGCTGACAGTAGCTGACGATGAAATGTACCATTTTCATTTCAGTGTATGGCCTTCTTGTGTTTTCTGTTGATCTAAGGGAATGATGCATGTATATGAAAATGAAAACAGTCAGTTTGCTTACATTCAGTTGGCCACCAAACCCTTTGTTAAAGTATGAAGTGGCATTTTGTGGAGTGCTGGTACACAGTCTGCCAGCTCCTATTAATAGTCAAATATGCAGAGAGAAGTATCTTTTGAGGTCAATCATTTCCTTCCTCACTTCTCTTTAAAGCTGCAGAATTGAGCTTGTTAGGCGGGAAGAGAAACACGCATGGTAGAAGGAAACATACTCATTTAGCAGCTGTTTCTTCTTCTGTGCCACCTGAAAATCGCACTGGCGGGCTGTATCCTGCCTGCCGCTGTTTTCCCCCCATTGCTTCTCAGTTTCTCAAAATTCACTTTCTCTTTGCTTACAGTAACTCCTAAATAATAAGAACCAATTATGTAACACAGCAGTGCTATAATCATGTTTTTGCTGAGGAATGCTTGTCGTATTTGGATCAAAATGTCATATTTTAATCACATCCATAATTACTTTCCCTTCAGATTAAAATCCTTGTATTCAAGGGAGAGCATTCCATTCACAAGCAATTGGATGAGAGTCTTATTAGCCCTCGGCAACTAAAGATGATGTTACCATGGAGACAAATTGTTCTGCTATCAATCACTGGATGCCTTGCAGGTAAGATATTTTAACATATTATATTTGAGTCTCGCTGCACTTGTTGTCATGGTTCATGCCACGACAACATCTCTCCTCATAAATTTGTGGGTTCTAATGCATATTCATTACAAAAGGATGTTACTGTTGTTTTTTTGCGTGTTCACTATATTTCAAAGACTAAAACCATGACTGTAAGGTTAGAGGTTATATAGCATTTCATTCTTAGCAAGCAGTGTTTATATAAATTATGGAGTTTCATCCGTTAAACTAATCTCAGAAAATCTCTTCTTCTCGACCAGAAAGGCTGATTTAGTTACAGTCATTACATGTACGTTACAGCACTCCAACATGATGTCCTTCACCGCTCCCTAGAGCAGTGTCCTGCTGCACATTTACAGTACACTGTCAGGGACAACTGGGAGTCCAGTCCCATTCCTGTTTATGGCCTGTCCAGATCATTATCAGGATCCATGCAATGAATCCAGCCCTGCATTTTAGCACAATCTACTTGCCACCGCGCCTCATTCTGCCCTTGTGTGGCCACCTGGGATTTGAGCAAGAGAAGCGCAGACACTCCACCAGAATGTCAACCCTTGTTCAAATGACATTGTAAATCCCAATGAATGTTATTCAAATTGGCTCATGGGTAATTCACACCCAGTACTCAAGGGAGCAAAATCCAAGCGGTCTCACCTTCCTAGCGGACAAGTGGTTTTTTTTAACAGCACCTTGGTTGCCACCTATAGGTGTTCATTCGTCATTCAGTGTTGTGATCATACACTTGCAAAATCCTTGAAAATCACTATAGCTGATAACAATCATTATGACATCTGAAGTGTTGTCTGGTTCCAATGTCTAGCACTTTACAAAATAGACCGACAGTGTAGATGTTAGGCCTGCGTGGCATTGTAGTCAAATTCACATTAGGGGGAGGCTGATTAGCCGAATCCAACTTCTTCATATGTCTGAACAAGCATCAAGAGTCACAGCGATTTGTTCTCACATGGCTTGTCAATCTATCACACAATGTAATATATGTTGATTCCTTGACATATTATCACCAGTTAAAACCACGTGTGGAACTGCTAGCCACATGCTGCAATCTGTTAGCAGTAGGATATTAATTAGGCCTACTCTGGCCGTCTGTTGACTCCGCTTTCATTTAGCACCAGATTGTGTTCCACGTCCTTTCCTTTTAAGCTTCTGGCAGATGAGTGCATCCTTATGGCCTCAATTAACCGGTGCATGCGTAGTATGACATAGATGTTCTGAAAATAGATCACTCTGCTTTATTTATCAACCCTGTCACTTAAACAGGGAATCATTAATTACTGAGGAATTTAAACTTAAATCCTCAACTTTTATTATCTTCCATTATGATATTGGTTCTGGCAAGTAATTAATACTGAACACGTCAGTTTGGTTTTATCACTCTGTGTATGAGCTTCCTGCAACTGCATTCAACTTTCTCAAAGCCCTTTGCCAGCTGAATATTTAAACACAACTCAGCGTTGGATGACATATTTGCACTATTTTTTATTAACTTGCATTTTTACATGGGAGTTTTCAACCAGGGAGATAATTAATAGCTTGGACAGTAGCAACAATATGATGATTTATCATGATGATAAAGTGACAGAGTGGGGCCTGGTACTATGTAAAACAGGCCCTGCATGCAAAAATCGGGGTAAACAAAAGCACCATGCTAAGTGCCTTTTGTGCTTCCCCTGAAAAATGCAGAAACTAACGGTTATTTTCATTATCAATTAATCTGTCGATCAATTTCTCGATTAATTGATCAGTTGTTTCAGAATCACTTTTTACTGGCCAGCTATGTGCACACATACAAGGAATTTGACTCCAGTTTTACGTTGCTCTCAATGTACAAACACAGACAAAGCATAAATAAACAGGACTTAACAAAGTAGACATAGACTAATATGTACAGTTATAGATATGAATAAACAAATAAAAAACAATAACATTTGTAGACAGTAGACAATAGTGCAATGGTGCAGAGTGCAAAAGATGCTGAAATAGATATTTACCTGCAGGTTTCTTTATGTACATGGGGTAGGTGGATGTGGATATGGTATGTGGTATATACAGTATATGCAGTATGCATATGGTCCATAAAATGGTAAAAAACTGTTTACCGGAGTCATTGGTGATGTCCTCAAATGTCTTGTTTTGTCCACAACCCAAAGATTCAGTTTACTGTCATAGAGGACTAAAGACACCAGAAAATATTCACATTTGAGAAGCTCAAATCAGAGAACTTTGACATTTATTTCTTAAACGACTCAAAATGAGGAATTGATTATCAAAATAGCTGGTGATTAATTTAATAATTGACAACTAATTGACTAATCAACTACTCATTGAAGATCTATATAGAATACAATAAAGCAGATAACCAAAAATGTCAACATTAATGCCTAACACTGTAAACAACCCTTCTTGTGATTGTCCTAATGTATTTATTTGCTTTTGTTTGGGAAGAGCAGCATAGTTCAGACGACAGGAGACAATATATACTCTATATTGAAACAGTAGTATACACTGAGTGTCACAAAGTTGCTGTATTTCAGCAAGATTAACTGTTTTTTCTTACACTCTCTGTGCTTTTGCTATATTCTTCCAGTATTTTCTCTTAAGGTCAAAGAGACAATTTCCCTTGCTTGTACGACTATAGATGTTCTCCCCTTTCCCCAGCCTGTGCAGAGGATGTCATATTTCAAGGGCCAAGATGGAGGACGGAGCCAAGTGACCTCATTTTACCGATCAACTCCCCAGACCAGGAGGCTACCATCACGTGCGAGGCAGAAGGCAGCCCTCCTCTGCAATACAGGTAAATTACCACATCAAAGTTACATTCCCCACAAGCGTCGGCCCGACTGTCTACCCATTTTGACTCTACATCCGCATCACATGGTGAAAATCCATTGCTGCTTAATTGCTTGTGAATCTTCATTGCCGCTTCCACGGAAATCAAAGGGGCTACCGATGGCGTTGATTGCTATTGATTTGTTAAAGAACAACGTTTTCTGGACATAAATGCTCGGGAGAGATTGTGCGCCATCCGACTAAAAGACAGGCTTCAAAGAGCAACTGCTTAATTGAGCACCCGTTTCTAATTGAACAAAGCTTATCTATTTTCAGCCAGGGCTGTAATGTGGAGTTAGAGTCAGGTTGATGTGGTTGATGAATATGCCAGCACCTCAGATATGAGCAAGGTTAACTTTAATAATGATGAGATTTAAGCCACTGTACGGCTAAAGCTGATGATTTATAATACGGTGCACTGGCTTAAGAAATCATTAGGGGAGAAAAGGAGATTCCAGTGACTCATTTGCACCACGGATCCTTGGATAATATCTCCCTGGTTATTCCCTGGCGGTACAGGGAGCCTGGCTGAAAATGGCAGCCAGCGATGTTTTTTGTGGTAGATTGTGTTTCGGAGCTTGGTCAGCACCATGTAGATGCACAGCAAGCATGGGAGAGAAGCAATAACCTTGTGAGTGACATTCCGTTAAATGCTTACATTTCCTATAATGTGTCTGCGCTGAAAACATGGTCCAGGCACAGCAGCAGGGGGTATCATTATACTTGTTGTGCAACCTGAGCTATCCCCGGATGAAGCCGAAACCATCACTTGCATTATTTCACCCGCAACTTAAAACATTCTGACTGCTGTTTGTTGGAGAGGTTTTCTCTTTCGGGGCCTGTGTGGTGTTAAAGCCGTAGTGGGAAATGGTGTCATTGTCACTATGATCTGCAACTTCTTCTCCAGCTGAGCGGGCACGTAATATTACAAGAGCACGGATTATCACTATTACAGTGTAACATGTTAGCCACACATTACAGCTAACACTAATCAATATTTTATATGAATAGATCTAAAGGTCTATAATGTAATGTGAAAGGCCTCACACCTTGTGACAAACCTACAGAGATTTATGACCAAGTCTGCATGGCCCTTTAGCTTTTTGGAGTGTTTCAGTGTCCTCATTATTTTAGTTTTATGTCCTGCAGCTTTTACTGTTTTGGGTTTGTCCCACTCATTTTCTCTTTGTCCCCCTCTTTCATTAACCCTGTGTCCAGCATCAGCAAGCTGCTTTTTTATTGCAAAAAAAGCTGGAATTAAGGCTACTTCAATAAAACAATATCAAAATATATCTGCAATAGACATGTCATCAATAGCAATGAGAAAACTGTTCGATGGAATATTGATAGTTTCACTTAGAGCATTAAATGCAAACTGGCATGAAACCACATAACGAATATGCCCTGGCTCATATACAGACCATTGTATCCCCTGATATTGGAGTTTGCTATGAGTGAATCACCATAGTCGTTTCCACCCTTCGGAGTACGCAACATGTTGTCAATCACGACCTACATCCATACATGTCAAGAAACAATTCACAGGAAGTCCACAATGGAGAGTTACTCAACAACAATACCGTATGACAAAACATCAATTCAAATTATTACTTGCGTGCCTGGATAAATTCAAAGTAAAGTGGTTAAATTCAACCTTTTTTTCCACCAGGTCTTTACTGAAAACAGTAAATGTTATCGTGATACATTTTTCAGCTTTATCGCCCAGCTCTACTACCACAGCAGTAAACATTAGCAACTAACTACAATACAGTCCGCCTTGGAAGAGGGATCCCTACTCTGTTGCTCTTCCAATGGGTGATTTTTAGCTTGTTGTGTAGTTCTGACCTTAAGCAGCAAAAACATTTATAAAAAAACAAAAATGGATGCAACTTTAAGTTTTTTAATTTAATATTTTAAATAATGTGATATACTACAGTATACGGTTATTAATTACAACCTTTATATTTGTTATTTTAATTGGAACACATTACAATATATACACCATTCACATCTTAAGGAGATCTAGTGATCAAACTAATTCATATTACATTACATATTTCTATCGCTCAGATTTTATATAAGCCTATTGTGTAACTTGCTTGGGAACAGTGTTCATCTTTTATTTTGTCTATTTCTAGTGTTTTCTCAGAGCTGCAGTACCTGCAGTTCACAGATTTCCACCATTCCAAAGCACTCAGCTTGTGTTTGTAATACAAAACAACACATATATCTCACACTCTAGCGATATTCATCTAGGTCAGTAGTTCCACTGTTTGGAGTCAGTGCCCTCAATTATGAATAAAAAATCTGAAACCAGGTTCAAAAGGAAGAACTGATGTTTGAGTGAGCAAGCTCTCACCACTGTGGATTGACATTTCTGGTAATGCTTTTAAAGACACTGGATTCCTACCCTTAATTTTACTTTGAGGAAGGAGTCTTTTTCTTTTTTTTCAGCTTTATTTGGGTTGCATCAGTTTTTCTGACACTGATCGCCCTTGACTTGTTTCCCTTCAGGCAAGGAGAGGACTGTTTTGTCCTGATGATAAAATAGAAAGCATAAATTCTTGGCAATTTATTTCACTAACACTGAAATTAGAACCTCAAAATGTCCTGAGCAGACTGAAAAAATGCCTTTAGGAAGTGGTCATGCTGTGACTTTCACCAGAGTCTGCAAACTATGCATGGGCCTACACCCTGCAAATGAACAGTATTTGTATAATTAGATATGCCAAGCGAGAGGGTATTACATTCAGAGCTCTACACTTAATTTCCTCAGTTACTGCAGCTATTAAGAAAAAAATCATCCATTTGGTTTAATATCCATAGAAAAAATTGGGTCACACAATATTGAATTTGTCAGAGGAGATGATGTTAACCCTTGTCAGGGAGTCACTGTAGGACTGGGAATGTCAGTTCTCTTCCAGCTGGGTGTTTCAGCTTTCCTTCGTTCAGTGATACAATGCATGTAAAATGTAGATAAGATGAAATTAATATTCAGATATTACCTGAATCCAGTGGACAGTGGCCAAATATAGCAACTTTAATATCCAGCACAGCTGCGATGAACTATAGCACTGGTTCTCAAACCTGTGCCTTTAATATGTTTATTTCAATGTCAGTCTGCTATGCATGTAGCACAAATACATCCATGATAGGTTACAAGCTAAAATGTAATGGCAAGATAATAGTGGATGTAAAAATCGAACACTTGCGAATGTGGCTCTAAACGTGGACCAGGAGTACCCCTTTTCCACCAAATTAGAAAAAAAGTGGTATGTGGTGTAAAAAGTTTGAGAAACACTGAACTGAAGCATAATACCAGGTACAGTCAGTATGGTGATTGTTTATTTGTGTCATAAACTGTCGAGCTTACATGGTCTTATCATTTAAATAATATGTTGGTAATGTAGGTTGCCATAAATTACAGTCAGATAGACAGTCTTTCTTTATAAAGAAGAAATGCTGAGTGCTGTTTACCTGTCATTTATATTTATAAATTATAATTTTTTCTACAAGATAAAGATTTTACCTCAGCATTCCAGGGATGCCGATAACAAAAATCCTCAAACATCAGTAAATGGTGCCATTTGTTGGGGACTATTTTACACAGCGGGTTTCTACACATTTGCATTTCTAGTGAGTATTTACAGCAGTACGACCATTTATGCAGGACTGAGTGAAAATAAACTACACTGCTCATGTTCAAAGTAATGAAGGTAATGGTAGGTAAAGTAGCTTTGGGAAGTTGGAATTTAGCTACATCAGGTCTTGGCTGCACAGAACTGTCAATCAAAGAGCAAGGGCTTTACAGACTCATCAGTTTGCACTGATGCTCAGCAACCACACGTGGAAGAATCCATCATAGAAAAAGAGCCAGCAGACCAGAATGTGTTGCAGACTTGCGTTTTGGAAAATGCAGGAAGCCTCTAACTGGGAAAAAAGCAGGATGAGGGAGTGGAAACCCTCTAATATACTGTAAATGACTACATATGAGGCAAGTCATTTAATAGGCCGTTTGGCAAGTTTTAAAATTCTGTCTAGTTGATTTAAATACTGGAGCACAGATAGCAGATATGATAAAATGGGAATATCAGCTTGTCACTTGTGTTTATGCTCATAACCTTTGCTAGTTAGCTTCATACTGTCTGTTTCCAACACCTCGGTCCCCTCCACCTCGCCCACTCGGTGAGGCCGTGAATATACGAACGGGAACCCTGACAGTTCTTCAGTTGACAAATAGTCCAGCGTAGCGCCAGAGCACACTGCAGGGCTCAGAGCTGTGCTTTATGAATGCACCTGTCACTGTGTTTACTATGAATCTGCTGTAACACAGGATCAAGGGCACTGCAGTGATTGGAAAGGCAGAATAAAAAAGTACTCTGGCTTGTGTCTGCTATCATGTAATGTGACTTCAGGCAGATGTATGACTCTACCTTTGTTTATGGGTCGGTACAGGGCAACAGGGACATAAATAGAACTGGAAGGGTGTGATTAGAAGATTTTGTTATGAATTCAGTGGCAGCATAAAGCCACACACCAGGCCTGAATGCAGAAATTGATTGATTTTTATCTTTTGGAGGGTCACTTTTCCTTTTATACAGTGAGAAAATTCTATGACCTGAAGGCTTTTGAGATCATTTGAAAACCAATGGCATAAACTGGAAGAATGCAGGCCTGTGCCCTTACATAAAGGCTATACTTTTTAATTTCTAGAAGGTAGATACAGTACATGGTCTTTTAATTATTTACTCTACCGGTGCTTGATGCATATCAATTATTTATTTACTTATTTTATTTTTAATTTAAGTAAAAGCATCACATATCCAAGCTATAATTTGTAATTGTAAATGGTATTATGCCTGCTGATAAGGGTTTATGACTGTGTGTATGCACATTTACTCTATATCTGTTCATGTTTCATTAATTCCATAGGACATTTAAGCCCTTTTTTTTAAGCTTTACAGACGCACACACATGCACACACCGAGAGAGAGAAAAACACTCACACTGATACAGGGTGGTTTTTTTGGCTTGAAGGCCAAATGAACATCAATTTATTAAAAAGCAGCAGCAATAACCTACTAAACGTAATTGTAGAGAGTACCCTGGTCAGCAGTTGAATTTCCATTATCAGCTCAGAGCTCTGTGAGTGTGTGCGTATGGACGAGCAGTATGTGGTCTGTGTGGTCACTGCCGTCTCTGTGGGTGTCTGGCCTCGAGGAAAGCCAGGTGAGCCAGTGCTGCAGTACAATCCCCAGTCTATTTGATGAGGAGACCTCATGCAAAATTGATGTGAACCTCAAGGTCACGGGGAGTTCATTCGGAGCATGCTCAGATCAGCCCGCGCCTGCAGCACACCGCAGCAAATAGGACTGTTCTCTTGGACTCCGTTGGACTTACTGTAAGCTCCTCTCGGCCTGCTGTAGTGTTGTATTCAGTGTGATTCAGTTTGGCCTGTGCTAACATTAAGACCTCTGATCTGCCCGCTTCACCTTCCTGCTTTTACTCATGCAGTTAGTGTCTGAGAGGGAATTATAATGAAGGAGGAAGGGGAGCATTGTTTTTGAAATGAGAACAAATATCGCTGTGATGTCTTATGCTCATTAGCAGCTGGCCACAAGGAGAGAACTGCCTATTGATTATGGTTACAGTTGTTTAGGTTGGATTTCTTCTATCCAAATGAGTAGGTGTTTGCATTGTGGTTTTTTTGTTGGATGCTTGTGGGCTCCTTACAACAAAGCAATGTCTACACATGCCCCCAATCCTATTATGGTATTAGTATGTGAGCAGTTCTAACAAAGAGAGATGTTCCTTTGCAGATTTTTCAATCTATATCACTGTCAGAGGACTGGAGAGGTGAAAATATATTTCTACAGACAGAAAAAATGTGTCTTTAATAGTCAATAGTCACTAACCATTTATCTGTACCACCTCTAATACGGTGCATCTTGTGAATTGTTTATACACTGCAACTACTGCGTTTATTAATAGTTAATTTAGTAATTTGTTAGTGTTTGTAGATCAGTGAAATTCATTAATAAGCACATGTTTTGCTAATCAGTGTTTAAGTTAGAAGTATTAGCCCTATTTATAACACTATTCATAACCTTAGAATGAGCGTGTGCTCTTCTACAGAGTCTGCCATGTTGAGCTGCCATCTTTCTACAGTAGCCCAGAACAGGCAAACTAAAAACTGCTTTTTTTTTAGTTCTTCAGTTTACCAGACTCCTCAAAATAATTAATTTATAACTCATAAACATTTACATTAGATTACTTACATTATGATAGGAGTTTCTAACATGTATAACACACTTGATGTTTTATGACTTTTTATTAATGGCTTATTAACATTTATAATTACAGATGACCTACTGACATTTAAGTTTAAGGCTTCCTAGTAACATTTATAACTGCTTACTTAATGGTTTATCACCCCTCATTAATTAACTGCAGATTTGATAGCTTGCTAAAAAATTAGCAACTTTATTAATGAATGTTAATAACCTTACCTTAATACTGCCTTAATAGCCTAATATTTTTTACAACCTGTATCAGAACCTAATTAAAACCTTATTAATAGCTTATTAACCCTTAATAAAGTCACATTTAAATATAGTGCTTTGACGGATTTCGGGGTACTATGGTTTGAGAAAATTGTGAGTGCTTCTTATAATTCAGGCCATTTATGAAAATATGACAGCAGCTCTTGTTGATCTTTCCTTACCTTTAAATCACATCCACCTTTCCTGGGTTCACATGAAAAAGGCGACCAAGAGCTCTCTGATGACAGCTTCCCCATGTCTTCTAATATCATAGCCTGTCTCAGGTGTTTCTACAGCAAGAGTAGGTAGGTGGCTTACTGATTGTGTCCGCGGTGCAGAGACACCATCACACCCAGCCAGCTGTCTGCTCCAAGGGTGTGTGATCTGTCCAGGCTTCCCACCTTCCTCGCCCATTAGGTTCAATCATGCTGGGTGGCTGCAAGTCTAACTAGCTTCCCATCCTTTTCCATTTAACCTCCTCCCCTCTTCCACATACAATAATCCCCCCTTTGGCACAAACAGAGGAGGAAAAGGACAGTGGAGAATTGAAATGGAGAAATACAAGGACTTAAAATATAACAGCATTCAGAATGTTCATATAACATATCAGAGTGTGTTTTCATATATATTCTTAGAAACATAAGCTTTGCCACGACAAGTATAGGGCATTTAGTAGTAATATTGTTGGAAGAGTGACAAAATCAGTCAGATTAAGTGACTGGCACAGACTGTTAGATGAATAATGCAAGCTACAAGATGAAAGACAGCTTTGTCTTTTGTAGTCTGTCAGGCAGGAGACTGGGGAGAGCCATGACTGGCTTTAAGACTGCATGAAGCATCATTCTAACTGCCTGTTAGTTTCCTTGGAGGGAAAAAAATGATATTGATTTTTTTCTACTTATCATTGGAATTGTGATTTCACAGTCCTGTCACTAAGGCAGATCAGCACACAGCATTCCAATAATTCTTTGTTTCTAATATTCTATATAAGGAACAGGAAAAGTCATTTTTCATCTGGGTTAATGTTCTGAGATAAAGTCCCGTTACCTTCCATGCTTTTATAGGTATCACTCACTTTCCATCGCCTTCAAATATGTCAATGTCAGACTGACAGACTGTAGATTTTAGTGAATAACATATAAAGTGTTTTCATTGTTCAGCATGAACATTATTCAGTGCTTTGTCTCTTTTGATAGCTGTGATTAATAGCTGTTACTTTCTGAACTGATCTCGCATGACAGAGCATTTTGTGACCTTTCCTAGAAGGAAATGGTCTGTAGACAATGCAATATGAAGGTGTCAGAAAGCAATAAGTCAGAAACACAAAAGCACAAACATAAACTAATTAGAAAGCACTCAGAGAGCGCATACATCTGCCAAGGCTACACAGTCATTTAGACTTATAATTTTAATAACATAAAATGCTGAGACATTTTTAATCTGCATCTCGATCCGAATCTGTGTCAAAGTGTTCATAGAAGTATGTAATCATGGGGTGCTTTTGCCACGCTGGCAGCTCTGTGAGGCTGCATGTACAGTACAGTAGTGCTTAGCTGAAGGCTAATATCAGCATGCTAACATCCTCATAATGACAATGCTAACATGCTGATGTTTATCACGTTAAACTATGTTAGTTTAGTATGTTAGCAACTGGTGGAAAGCAACTTGGTACATTTACTAACAACATAACATTGAGGATGATCTATTGGTGAAATATTATGAATATAATGAATATTATATTAATAGATTTGTTTTCAATAGATTTTTCATTCCTGAAAATAAGAATTGTTGTGTTTTCGTTACCTTAGAATAAGTGGGAGGAAGGTCCTCTTCTACAGGGTCCTGGCACTTGGCCATTGTGCTATTAGACAATTTACTTTTCTTCACAGAAGTGAACCAAGTGGTGAGATATAGGCCTACTGCATATATCTTTAAAGTTTTCTTACAACCCTTAAAATCAAGAAGGCCTCCCCAGATAAATTAAAGGGGTAAATTAACACTAAAGGGAAAATGAGGTTGAAGCTGATGGGAATATCATTAATTTTGCAGGGTATATCAAAAACTATTAAATTATTGGACAAAGTGAAAGAAAGATCACCAAAGTTATTGCAGTTCATCCTGAGGGGGGCATGAATGTGCAAACCAAATTTCATGGCATCTAAAAGTTGTGGAGACATTTTACTAAAAAACACTCGTGAACCTCATGGTGGCGCTAAAAAGAAAAGTCAGGGATCACAAAAGTCAGTATGATTCATCTTCTAGGCGCCATGAATCTCTGTCTATGAATGTTTATGGTGATAGCATTGCTAAAAACAGCAAAATCCTCTATCCCACTATGCTATGAAACATAATCTCATGTATTCTTACCTGCACAAAAACACTTATGGCCTAAATTTCTGCTAGCAGACTACAAACTGCAAAACCAAAAACATAACCTCCTTAGTGGAAGTAATTAAAAATGAGGTGAAATAAAATCCACTTCACCATGTAAGTAGGAGAAAATCAATACTCGCCGCAGCAGATTTGCTCTTTTTGGAATTTTGCCTAAATTAGTAGCAAAACCAAATACTTAAATTATATCAAACTGTTGAACACTGGAAGCTATAGCTGTCCTCAAAGGCATGAGATGTTTTTTTTCTTTGTAACTTGCTGTAAGGGATTTTTACCACACAGTCTTTGTTAATAATACACAATCCTTCTCCTATTACTCACCTTTTAACTTCTCAGCATGATGTGGGTGGACCGATGAAATCGATCTCTGTGATAAACACTGTGAGGGTGCATCTCCAGGGGGCTCAGCTACTGATTGTGTTTGCGTTTTTTCAGATGGTCACTAAACGGAACACTCATTGATCTGGGGAATGACTACCGGCGTCACATGTCTGGGGGCAGCCTGATCATTAGCAACCTGGACAAGGACCAAGACACCGGGGTATACCAGTGCACGGCCTTCAACACGTGGGGAGCCATCCTCAGCCGCAGAGCCAGCCTGAAATTTGCATGTAAGTGATCCTACAATTGCTAACACGTTTCTGACTCTGACACAGTTATGACTTTCTGGCTTCTCTATTGTATCTGCTCTGACATGTGTGTTATATGCTTGTGGCCCAGCCCTTTTTTCATTTACTATTCCAATTTTTTATTTAGATTGCCTTGGAATAGATTTTTGAGAGGGGAAATGGTAATCGAATGAAATGTCAGATGCAACAAACACAGTGGGTGAGGCAGCTTCTGACTGCCTCTGAACTCCATTGATTCTCATTAGTGGTTCCAACTCTGACAGCATCTATGCTCAGTCCGAATTGACTCATATTTCGCCAAGTGATATGCCAGCCCCTATGATCCAGACTTTAAAGGCGACAAACACGAATGATGCTTAAGAAGTGTTTGCATCTTTGTAATCGCCAGACACTTCTTTTTGTATAATATATCCAGCAGATTGGGAGCTGATCAGATAGTGACAGGCTGTCTGCTGCTCTCTCAGCTTTCTGCTTAAAAGACAAAAGGCGGGTTGGAAAGTAATGTTGTGGAGTAGGGTCCTACCTTCCAGACAGGCTCTGTAAAGGCACCTCTCCTCTCTTGATCAAGGCTGCTGACTATTGATCATGTCCCAAGGATAGAGAGCCTTTCACTTCCTCTCAGGAGATGGACTGCTATTATCCCTATAGCCCAGTAATGAATCTCACTTGTGGGGACCGGTTGAGCAGTACTGCTTGACATTTATTGTCTTGCCTAATGCACAGTGAGGGAGGTCTAGGAGATCAGCATGGCTGATACTCTGTTTTTCCGTGTAATGAGGCCACTGCCCTAAGATAGAAATGTCAGGCCTTCAAAATTCAGCTGCAGCCACTGTAAGCTAACATGTCCTCCCACAGCTCAAATTTGCAATAAAAGCAACTGAAAGAAAGGGTAGAATCAAACAGCAATCTGGAGCATCAACATACACAATGTATAACTGATCTTTTTCATACTACTATGGTTTAATAAAATATGGGTCTTAAATTTATAGCTTTGGCCAATGTCATCAGTTAGGATAGCGTTATACTCATCAAGTTAATTGGGAATGTGGCAACATTGTCCTACTGTACATGCACATTAATGTTTCTCTGCTAGCCCTGTCCTCTCAGCCCCGCTCTGCCCAGACTACCCTGGATAATGTCATGCACATAAAAATAGCTATTCTATTCTCTGATTATGCGTTTTGCAAATGTAAAACTTTAATGGTTTGAAAAACTCTCATAATACAAAGAGAGAAAATTGACCTTTTTTGCCTTTGGATCCCTTATCAACATGTTTTTTTGGCGGAAAAATGCTTTTTAGCCCACAGGGGATTTTTCTTCTTGCAGTACCATTGTTGACCACTGGGGCAAATTAGCAACAAGACTAAATTCACACATCACATTTACAGCTAGACTTTCTGGTTCAACTTCAATTCTAATACACTTACAGCCTGGAAACACTACCCACGTCCACCTTGCCCTACACTTTCAACGTCTATATCTGTAGTCACAAACACAAATCCAAAAATCCAAATAATAAATCCAAAATAATTGAACACACCCTGTGTCCGTCTCAGATTAAAAGCTCTCTAGTGTGTCTTTGGACATAATCCATTCATTTGTTAACAAGGCTTTTATTGTGTTGTATTTATCACAGGCAAACTTAATGTAGAAAGATGGGGCTGGCAGCAGCAGAAACACTCTGTGTGGACACCACAGGCATGCAAGCCACAGCTGTTCAGCATGGTAGCCGTCAAGCACCACTCATGTGGGCAGTGCGTTCAAGCCGTTACCATAGTTTTGCATATGCACGATTTTCCGCTGTAGTGAGAAATCCTAAAAGACTTTTGGGTGTGCTCACATGCAGTTTTACCTCCAAATAAATGGTTTGAGAGCTGCAATAATCCATTTTTATATTAACAATGGGTCAGATAACTCTATGTAGTGTGACAAACCCACAGAAAAATATGCATCACCTGTCTCTGTGCTTCACTTCAGCTCTATAGAGCCTTTTAGCATCTTTCAGCCCGCTGTTATGGCCCTCAACTGTCCTGTTTGCTTCAGTCTCAGCGCTCTCTCAGCTGTGTTTAGTGGAAAAACTCTGATAAACCCACTGTACACTTCTAGCAGCAAACAGCAGACAGACACAGTTAGAGACTAGCTGGTGAACATAGTGGAACATCTTAGGAGCTAAAGAGCCAGATATTACGCTGAAGAGTTGGTGGAGACTAAAAGCAGAGCTAAAAGAGTGAATATTGGACTTACATTCATCAGGCAACAAATGAATGCTAATGTTGCTGTGTGTCTGCTGGATGTGTAAATAAGCAACTGCTGGCAAGGGTTTATTTGGTGTGAGCTGCAGAGTTTTTGGATATTGGCCCTAGAGATGTCTGCCTTCTCTCAAATATAATGGAACCAGATGGCACTCTGTTTGTGGTGCTCAAAGAAGTACATTTGAAAAAGTCAACAGCAATGTCTCTTTCAGAAATCATGACCCGGTTCCTTAAAGATAATCCACAGAACTTGTTGTGAGCAGTTTCATTAAGGAACTTTTATTTCTACTGAACTGCACCCGCCAAACACCCCACTGTGTAGAAGGAAGCGTGAATTTTTGATCTAGTTAACATTGCAGCTTAGCCAAGGATGTCATTCCTTCTGAGCAGTGATACGTTTCGTTGGTGTAGTTGAGTTGAAAGAAAATAGTTCCTACTTGAAACTGCTCACAACAATGTCTGTGAATTATCTTTAATAACTGGGAGAGACATTGCTGTTGACTTATTCAAATCTACTTCTTTTAGCACCACAAGCTGAGTGCCATCTGGTTCCATTATATTGGAGAGAAGGCAGACATCTCTATGGCCGATATCTAGAGAACTTGGAAACTCACACCAAAACAGATGTAGATCGATAAAAAAGCGCTACGCTATGTATTTTTGATTTGTATTCTGGTTAGACTATTGGCTTGTTTACAGCCGACTGACTAGATGAGTAAATTGTTATCATAGTAACATTGGCCAAAGCTCCCAAGAAACAGGCCTAAGGTGTAATAAAGCAGATGTTTTATTTCAACCAAACATTGAGGCAGCTGTGTTGTGCTGCCTCTGGAGCAGGTGAATGAAGCTTTGCTCAAGAGCACTTTTGGACACAATTTATAATAGGGAATGTCTATACAGTGGCGCCATTGCCCAGACCAATAATCTTCTGGCTCTAATGGTCGCTCTCTGTAATCTCCAGGCCAGCCATTCTTGTATGGCAGAGACTGATTCTGCTTACAAAGGAATCACTGCAGCTACAGTGAGTTTGGCCTCTAGCTCTCAGAGTTACAGTGTGTGGTCAGTTCACTCCAGTGAAGCCCATTATTCTTCTGCTCAGAGGCCAGAGAAGAGAGTGTATCCCCTCCAGCACTGAGCCCAGCTACATCTCTACCCTCTTCTGTGCCATTTTTTGCGATCTTGGTGAAGGAGTCATGCTTCTCCCGTCCACTTAGTAATTATCAGTAGCTCTCAGATTCACATCCCGCTGTTTCCAAAAGCGTTGCTATTATAATTATCAACTGTCGTTTTGCTGGGCTTTTTCAATCAAACCGGATATATGAATCTCGCTCCAGCACCTCCCCTCAGAATCTTAAATGTCTTTAGGAGATGGACTGTATTTACTAAGGCAGCCTGGTGAGATCAGAAGGACATCGCCTCTGTCTGTATTTCAAGTCCGCCATCTCCTCCTGTGGCCTCCTCTGTGTCCTGCCGTGACTTGGCTCTGTTTGATTCCACTGCGGTCATCAGAGAGCTGCTCATTAATCTTACCAACACTCTGTCCCACTTCTCTCCATAATCTTCCTTCTCCTAATTTCCCTTATCGGTCACACTGACTTTCTTTTGTTTGTGTTTGGAAGGCTTACTCTAGGCTGTTAGCCAGAGGGTGCAGACAGAGTACAGAGCGGACTGCGGTAGCCTCCCTCCATCAGTCATGAAGCCAGGGGTGGTTTATCATCCCAGGTTTAGGTTTTGTCTGCCAGCAACTGCTCATTCATTTGCAGGGGATAGATTGTGCTGAGAGTATTGATGGGGAAGCTAATGCTTTTAAGTGCAAGATTACACCACATTTAATAATGATGTTACTTATTGCTGCTGGCACAGCAAACTGTCATTTGTCATGCACGCTCCCCTGTGTTTGCTCAGTCCGCGCACAGCATTTCCCCTCCCCCCCGCTCATTTTATCCCGTTTCAGCCTATCTCTTCCTCGTGCTATAGTGTGGTTATGTATGGTAAACGTCACCAAGTCAGGTCCATCTATTTCATCAGCACCCCAGATGCCTTTGAAAGTGTTGGAGGCTGTCAGGAGGTGTCCCATGGCAATCAATGATGCCCTATTATAGTCCCAGTGCTCAAAATGTAACATCAAATACATGCCTCAGTGAAGGGAGTTTGGGAAAACTTATGTCTCCTATTTTCAAAACTATCCTTCTCAAAGAAACCCTTGAGAATATAGACTATATAAAATCACACTTTTTGGCTGTGTGATATTCAGTCCTATGCTGTTGATGATCTTACTTCTTTTTAGTTGCTGTCTAATTCTATTTCCATCTTTTTTGACATATCAGATCTCGATAACTTCAAAAGTCAAACGGTAAGGAGCGCTGTCAACGTCCGTGAGGGCCAAGGAGTGGTTCTGTTATGCGGACCACCTGCTCATTCTGGAGGTAAGTTTGCTATATCTGAGTATGCTGCTTTTGTGACTGTTTATTTTAACATGACTCATAGGAATTACCTCCACTCATTTCACGTGGAAACCTTTGATAAAGGATTACTCTCTTACTCCTAACTTAATCTGTTTTTACACCCATTTATGTGTACACATGCTCTAAATAATCACCTTCTTATGTATATCATACTGAATACTACTAACCAAATCCCCGCTTGGGTGTTTCTTGCCTTATTCTGACTAATTTTCTAATTAAAGCAGTTTCTCAAGTAAGTCTTAAAGGCTCAGTGTGTAACATTTAGGAGAATCTATTGGCAGAAATGGAATATAATGTTCACAGGTATGTATTTTTTAGTATCCTAGTGTATAATCACAGTTTTTTTCCATAGAAAGAGTATTTTATATCTACAGACACTATGGGTTCTCTTCCACAGTCCACCATGTTGAAGTGCCATGTTTCTACAGTAACCCAGAATGGACAAACCAAACACTGGCTCTAGATTGAGCTTTTTGCAGCCACTGTAGTTTATCCTACACGCTTGGAATGCAAGCGATAGGGGCCACCCCTTATATCTGATTTGCCAACACAAGTATTACCACATTATCCTTACCCTTTGCCACTCTGCACACTAGTGGGCTCCACTTAATGGCCATTTTCAAAGGGATCCCAAAATGGGTTCTATGGGTAGCCACAGGTCTGCAGACATACCCACTTTATGCTAATCCCATGCAGTTTGGAGCAAAAACCATGCAGTTTGTTTGCATTTGGTATAAATGTGTTATTTTCTCCTAGTGTACCTGAATATGTCTGCATACTGGGTTCCCTAAGCAGTATTATAATTGCATGAATTGGGAATGACTGAAAGACACACACACTTCATACCAACTCTGCATAAGTCAGTGCCAGTCAAAAAAGTCTGGAAACGCCCCTGGCGAGCGGTATTCAAGTTGGTTGCAATCTGCAACTTCAGCACTAGATGCCACTAAATCCTACACACTTGTCCTTTCATGGAATAATTTGACATTTTGGAAAATGTATGTATACGGTTCCTTAGATGAGAATATCAATACCACTCTCATGTCTGTTTGTTAAATATGAAGCAGCAGCTGGTTAGCTTAGCTTAGCTTAGCTTAGCACAAATACTTTTTGGTTTGTAGCAGTAACACTCTCATAACCCCTGTAAAACTGTAACTTTTTAAACATTAGTTTTTTTATATAGGTATAATAAAAGAGATATACTGTGTTAATTAGTGAGCTTTAAGTGGAAAACACTTTGCCGTCGCAGCACAATATATGACGCACTTCAAGTGCCGCCCCTAGCACCAATAGGAAGTCATACTGCAGTGCGTCAACAGGAAGAACACACACAGCTCGGGATATTTCTCAACCTCATCTACTCTATCTGCTCATTAATTGATCTACACACACAAAAGACGGCAACAGCATGGGGTGAGGAGAAGAAGTCAAGCTGCCACTGGAGTCAGGATGTACAAGCAGGGACCAAGAGGAGTTAATTATTATCATTTGCACATTTTAGGCACAGGCGAAATAGTTAAAACTACAGTGTAAAGCAAGCAACAAGCTATTAATAGTGTCAACATATATTGAAGTACAAAACAGTTTTTTGTCCAGGACAGTGGCATGAGGGATCGTGGGGCGGTGTGTCTATGAGCACTGGTGGGTGCCCAGCCACCGCTGCGATGTGGTTGTACATGGAAAATAATAGGGCAACAGTTTTGACATTCAGAAGTGGTGTATTTTGGCCTTTAGAGGTGCTAATAGGTGGATTTTGGTACCTTAAGATACAACCAGGCTAGCTGCCCCCCCCGTTTCCAGTATTTATGCTAAACTAACCAGCTGCTGGCTGTAGCCTTATATGTATTAACCTCCACTCATTAAGAAAAGATGCTTTGTTCAACTGAGAAGCTGAAAAGGTATTGTTTACATGAAAGGCCACAAATTGGAGATAAAGACGCAGGCTGCTCAGACCCGCCTCTCTGAGTATCTGCAGAAAACTGAGGACACAATGGCTGCCCGTCTCTCTCCTGATACAGTAGCTTGCACATTGGAACAACCAATTTCCTTCACAAGAGAACAGTTTGTAGCGCAGTGCATTGTACAGCTGGTCTATGGGATAATGGGTCAGAGTACTCTGTGTGAAATACAGTTTGACAGTTTTCCTCTGACATTGGCTTATACGCGGTTGGCTGCTGTAACCGTAGCACTATTGTGTTTTCTTACATTTTCCAAAGTGAATGAAAGTAAGCCCGCTGTTCCTTTCTTCCTTCTTTGCCCTGTTGCTCCCTCTCTGGCTCTCCCTTTTTCTCTCTCTTCTTTCTCTCCTCTCCTTTTTCTTTTTTTCTTTTTCTCTCTTGAATTTTGAAAGCATCGATTTGCTGCATAACCTTGAACTGAACTGAAGTTTATCTAACACCTATAAGGCATCTCTTCTGGTTTTCATTATGCTTCATTGACTTTAAATTCTGCAAAAGCTTTTTCCTCCACTACCGCAGCCATTATCACATCACTCGGATATGATAAATACAATACAATATTGTCACAAACAATTGCGATTGTATCACCTTTGTGCTCCATTATCATAGTGTTTACTTTAAGCGCTTGTTTGGCGCATAAGTCACTTTTTCTGTTACATAGAACACCTTGTCTTTTATTACCACTCTTTGCTTGACTTGTTTGGCAAAATTCTATCACTGCTCATTACAGGCACATAGTTCAGATGAAGGTTATGCTGACTCCGACTATGTGGCTCATGCTTGCCTAATCAGAAGGAGCTTTGTATCTGCATCGCTGCACCCAGCTCGGACACCCAATCCTATCCAAAGGCCGGATCCCTCGGAGGGCAGTGCATATGATTGACAGTCACTGCCTGCATACACCTCGGAGCCCCTCACCTCCGAAGTGGTAGATTACACAGCGAGTGTCTCCTCGCTCTTGCAAATATGTGTAGCGTACACATCTCAAAATGACACAGTAATTCATCATGGCAGGTCTCTCCGTTCTTATGGTAGACCTGCTGCTTGTGAAGGGTCATCACAATATATTCCTACAACTTCCATATATGTACATCAATCCATTCATCCCTCAATCCATCCGTTCGAGCCTCCCATGAACCACTCAGTCACTCAGGGACCCAGGGAATAGAGGCCGTGTGTCAGGGGAGGGCCACTGACGCGCTGTAATCCATTTTGTTTCGCTCCCTTTCCTTAGGTCTCCCATTCCTTCTGCACTGATAACCATTACATTTGCCATGCCATCTTTTTTTCAAGGAAACTGAGATAAGGGAAGGAAATGACGTGATATGCAAACATTTTTAGGCCACAGTTGGGTCTCTCTGGTTTCATTAGGTTCAGCCGTCCCAGCCAGAGGTCAATGTATCTAATGCTGCATGTGTGGAATCAGTTGTGCTTTAAACGAGCAACAGTGGACCAACGCTGCTCTAAGTTGAACTGTTTTCCTTTCCCTTCCAGAGTTGACATTTGCGTGGATCTTCAATGAATACCCGTACTTTGTCCAACAAGACAGTCGGCGATTCATCTCTCAAGAGACCGGGAGTTTGTACATTGCAAAAGTGGAGTCCTCAGATGTTGGCAACTACACCTGTGTGGTTAACAACACTGTCACAAGGGAGAAGGTGCTCAGCTCTCCTACACCGCTGGTCCTCAGAAGTGATGGTAAACACCTTAAACTATAGGGAACCTTTAGTTTGTACCCCACTGGCTTATCCACTAAAAGGTATTTCTTCAATATGTTTGTGTCATATAGATTCAAACAGTAATCTACCCTGAGTTTTAGCTTTATATCAATAATCAGTCTTCATAAACGTTAGCTTGTTTGCTCTTTATTTCAGCATAGTACCTTCTGTGGTTGTTAGTGGCCACCAGTTTGGTGGGTTTTTTCCAACTGTGGGTTAAAACTGACCTAAATTTGGTTGAAAGATTAGATAAGGTAAATGTTTACACCTCTAGGTTACGTATTATTATAATAACATTATAATTAAGATTTGTTTGACCAATATCGCTATAAAATAAATTAAACAACAGGTCTGCATTTGTGATCTATTAAACAAGATGTGATTGTACCAAGCATAATCACAAACTCATCTTGTTTCTACATGAATAGAACCAGATAAAATAATGCAATTGCTTGTTGTTCAAGCCAGTGAGTCAGAGAAAAGTCATTGCCTGAGACAACACGCCTAATGCTCTATGGAAACATTCACTTTTAAATATATTAGTGTCAAGAACATGAACAACTGTTAAACCTGACAGTGTTTTGATATTGGACTGATGACACCTAATGATACTGTTGACAGCTCTGTACTGACGCTGCTTAAGCTAATGTTAACATTAGCTTTACAGACTGACAGGAAGAGCTGCTCTGAATATTGGACATCTCAATTTAGAGCTTTCAAAGTGTTTAAAACAATGATATGATGTGGTTACAAATTTAACTGGGACATTATGGCTACTATGTTCGCCAGCTATCCGACATTTACACTAGGCAACTGCCGAGCTACCTGCTAGCTGTCGGAGATTGACATGAGCAATGGCAATACTAACCCTAACCCAGATCTTTTATGTGGGAAGAAATGCGCCTGTCTTTCATAAAAAGTGAAAGTTTTAAAAATGATACAGATGGTGTTCTTCCACAAAACCATCTTTGGCCTGTGAGCGTACAGACACTAGCACGAAGAGAGCATGCTAACAGCCTTTTTTGTTTGTTTCTTGCAGTTGCTGACTTAACGATTCACTGGCAACTGCTTGTTAAAACATTGTTAATGACGTTATAAATAAAATTACTGCTCTTCAAATACAGATTTCAATATAAGAACACGTATTGGATCAGCCCTATGTTGTTATATATATGGAATTGCATTTGTCTGAACAGAATTTCATTGAATAATATTCAACAAGATGGTAGGACCTGTTTCACATATGTACACGTACAAATTCTGCCCAGCCACACAGATTGTTCATGCCCAGGCAACCCAGATGTTATTGTTATTAATGGCTTATAACAAATAGTAAAGCATTATCATTAATAGCGCCACTAAGAGTGCCTTAGAACGTGTTTGTTTTTCTAAATATTCTCCTCTCTATTCAGCCATTATTCCAATCAAACCATTGGTTGGAAGCATAAAACGCAAAAATGTCAAAGCTTTCATGAGATGGTTTATAGCTTGAATTACCGCTGTGTTGTATCAGTCAGAGATGTTTTTAGATGGGAAAATGTCACAGGTCATTACTGACTAAACATTGACGGTATGGATTGGGTGTTAAAGGAGGAATTCCATTTTCCACGATGTCTGTAAGATTCTAGCACATATCACAGCTTTCCAAAGTATTTAGTGACCTTTAATCTGAAAACATGCACTGGACCCCAGATCAGCTTTTGCTGTCGGACTGAGGGGTTGTAATTGGTAATAGTAAAGGGCACACCACTATCTCTGCAAAGAAGTCTTTGACCCGTTCTAGTGATGTGAATATAAATACAGTCATAAATGAAGTTGCCACAGGTGATAAATCTCTACTAAGCAAGTCTTTTCCCTGATGTGTTCTCTGAATCTTTTATAAGCCACCTCTGATTTTTTTCCTCCTCTTTACCAGCCCTTCAGTGGTCACCTTTGCTCCGTACGCATAAATACTTTTCTGTTAACTGTCCCACCGTGTTACTTGCTCTCTCTTTGATCCAACGTGAGTGTAATGTGTGCTGTTAATCATTCATGTAAAAAGCTTGTCATCTATTGTCTCCTTTTTTGTAGGAGTAATGGGTGAATATGAACCCAAAATAGAAGTTCATTTCCCGGATTCGGTTCCAGCTGCGAAAGAATCAGTGGTGAAGCTGGAATGCTTTGCTCTGGGAAAGTAAGTCAGCCTTATTGTGTGTGTGCGTGCGTGTGAAATAAGCTGTAGGCTCATCCATGCATAGTGCTGCTCAAGATGATTTAAGAATGCACAAGCGTAACATTACTCATTCTCAGATTCATCAATCCATAGGAGAGCAAGGGCAGCAGCATGAAAAGACAAGAGAGCAGAAATCAAAGTTTTTTTAAGAGCTGCGGAAATCTGAGCAATCACAGTTTGATTTGTAGGGAACAATAATTCACAAGGCTCTTGCTTCAGCTACTTTTCTTCTGTGCTTAATCACACTTTGATCACTGCGACTGACAGTTGCCGCCATGGGAACTTTTTGTTCGTCGTTTGCAGCCCTGTCCCAGAAATAAGCTGGAGAAGAACCAGCGGCATCCCATTCCCCAGCAAAGTCAAGATGAAGAATTCAAACGCCGTGCTTGAAATACCTAATTTCCAGCAGGAAGATGCGGGGACGTACGAATGTATGGCAGAGAATCGGCGAGGCAAAAATGCTGCACGGGGTCGTATTTCATTCCATGGTTAGTGAGCCATTTCAAATTGAATGACGGTGAACGGAGGCAGACGCAGGAATGAATGTGTGTCTGCAACAGATATCCACATTTGTACAGGAAAAACGCATGTGACTAGCAGCTTTAATCTCGTTTATTTGACAGAAAACCAATTTGTCTATAACATGTGGGGCATAATGTTGCCATGAAATTACAATACAGGCTATGGCTTTAGAGGCTCCAAATTCATCTCCTGTCAATATTCTGCTGATAATGTGTTTACCAACCTGTGTTCTTTATTTTTGCTGACAATCCATGTGTTGAGTTTAAACTTTGATCATTTAATGCAAGGCTGCTATAACAGCTGCGTGATTTGTGATACAACTCTTTACTAATCCACTGCTTCTTTATTAAAACACATGTTTGAAAAGGTAATCCTCTCATTTATTCCAAGCCAAACCTCACTGGCTCCAAACAATGACAGACACAGCTCTGTCCATCGAGGAAAATCTCTTTTGGGAGTGCAAAGCCAATGGAAAGCCCAAACCGTCCTACAGCTGGCTGAAGAACGGGGACCAAGTGATGGCTGAGGTATGGAGATCTGTTAGTAAGTTTTCACTGTAAGACAGATGGGTGACAGACTAGAGGAAACATTGATGTAACATAATTAATGCAATCCAACTGAACACTTGAAAACGCAAAATGAGGGGATATCTTTTGGAAGAAAGGTGTTCAACCCTTCACACACTTCGAAAATATTTAAGGAGCATTGAAGGGCTTACTGAGAAGCTAAGCTAAAGCTCAACTTCTCTCTACACAATTGGCGCAATAGGCTCAGATTGTCTGGGTTTCAAAATTCAGAACTTTTAAGTCAGATCTGTTACAGTCAAAAATATACAGAAACAGATTCAGTGTGAACTTACCCTGTTCTGGATGAACGCATGTTCTGTATTAGAACTGGCTTTTGATGGCTAGAAACTCATCCATTTTGCATTTGCAAGGTACTATAGAACTACTGTACATGAAGGGTACTCCAGTGATTTAGTACTGTGCTTTCATAATGTTACAGATAAAGAGGAGGTAGAGGTACCTTGACTTTCAGGTCCCATTTACACCTGGTGTATCTGTACACATCATCTGGATAATGGCATCCACAGGGCTTTGCATTTCCATCTAGTCTTAATGAGTCTTCACCTTACCCGGCCGTGGTCTGGCCGATCTGATTCTGATCACGATGGCTTTTGGGTGCATTTACACCATCCTAAAATAATAGGTAATGCAAGGTGTAAACGGGATGTATTCAGACAGAAAGCAAGGGAAATGTAGTCACTGGAAAGATACTGGGCTACTGATGTAAATTGATGCAAACTAGCCAAAATGTTTCAACTTGAGCGAAAAGTTTGCTCATATATCCACGGGCTTTGTGAACCGGCTTCATAAATGTGCAGAGATGAGAAGAAGAAAGAGAAAGACTGGAGGGATTTAAAAGGAAGAGCCAGAATTCCTGGTTCCAGTTTAGTCAGAGGCTGAGCTGAACACACACAACCACAGACACAGGCGGTTTGTACGTTGCTAACTAGCTTACAGCTAACCTTTTGGGTGAAAAAACACAAATGGTGCAGCGGTCAAATTTGCACAAATACGTGAGGAGAAAATTAGCTTTCTGTCTGAACGCATCCGTCATTAGTATGGGTCAAACTGCAAACTTGACCAACCTCCCTTCAGGCAATGCCTAGGACATTGTATGACTGTTTTTACCCCTCATTAATGACAAACAAAACAAACATTGAAAAAATGTAATCTGTAGAATCATGCTACAAATAAAAGTCAGATGTGGTTAACTCTGAAGGTTAGCAGTGTTTATGTGGTATGGTTTTTCATTAATAAGTTGTGTTTTACCACACTCCAGCTTTCTATATGTGTCTATAATTAACATAGCATTGTAAGAAGCCACTCCCCACACAGCGATGAGGACCTCTGACTAGATCATTTGGATTAAAAATCATAGTCATAGTTTTTCCGACTGAACAATCACAGAAAATAAATGACTTTTTAATATGCTGCTGGTGCTATTGTCAACATTGCTTCTTTTCTGTGTATCTAAGATGCAGGTTAGCATCCTCCTCGTCTCTTCCCCCATTACAAGCTGAACATACGTAGAATGCCACAAGGCTCTTTAGGTTTTTTTTCCCTCTCTCTCTCTTTTTCTCCTCTCCTGCTGTCCTCCTCCCTTCATGGTGCACCAGTAATTGCTGCTGTGCTTTTGGACATAATAGACTGGCCTTGCAATGGATATGCATAACTGTTTCTCTTTCCTCCACAGGGCCGGGTACAAATCGAAAATGGGGCTCTTTCTATAGCTGCATTAAACCTGTCAGATTCCGGGATGTATCAGTGTGTGGCTGAAAACAAACATGGCATTATTTATTCCAGTGCCCAACTAATGGTGTTAGGTAAGATTGCATCCCTCCCTCTGCTTTTATCCTGCTTATCTGCCTGTGCGTTTGATCATCTCCTAAGATAAAAACCAGCAGCCTGCTATAGCTCTCCTCAGCAATCAGTCTGCAGACTCATTTGATGTCACTATGGGCTCTGCCAGCAAAAATATGAATCTGATGGAGTGTCTCATTTTACTTTCACTCGTTTCATCATATTGATTTGGATACTACAAACGCATAGCTTTGTGGCATTGTGCATGCTTTCTTATGTAGATGGGGTATTGATTTATTTGCAAAGCTTTGATGACTTCTATCTGACATGGCTCGATGAGAAATTCAATTCTGTCTTCATACATGTGATGACACTTGGGGGGTCCAAATGATTGCTGACAAAATGTGATGATGAGT